CTTCGGGGTAGCATATCCGGAACCACATGTTCCTTGCCTTTCCGATGCACTATATCAAAATCATACTGCTGGAGCTTCAAAGCCCATCTCGCTAACCCACCACACGGATACTTCAATTTATTCAACCAAATAAGTGAATAATGATCGGTGACGATCGTGAGCTTAGCGCCCTCAACATATGGCCGCAGTTTCTCAACAGCCCACAGAACCTCTAGACACGCCTTTTCGGTCGTCGAAAAGTTTCGCTGTCCGTTGTTTAAGGACCTACTCAAATAAGCTATAACCCGCACCTATACCGAAATCAGACGCGTCTGCCTGGATTGTAAAAGGCCTATCAAAATGCGGGCAACTCAAGATCGGAGCTGTCACCAAGCGCTCTTTCGCTTCTCTTAAACTCCTTTCACAATATTCAGTCCAATTGAAGTTTCGATTTTTCTTTGTTAAATCGGTGAGAGGCCTAACTAATTCTGCAAAGCCTTTTATAAATCTGCGGTACCAGGACACTGTTCCTATACGTGACCGCACTTGCTTTACGTTTTTCGGTACCTCAATCCGAAGCATCGCCTCTACCTTCTCGGGGTCTACGTGTAGACCATTCTTGTTCAGCACGTAGCCCAAATACTTCAGCTCAGACCTACAAAAATTACATTTTTCGCTATATAATTTAAGCCCTGATCTAGCTAGTCTATCCAAAACGTCTTTCAAAATCTCTAAATGTGTCTCAAAAATATTTGTGACGATAATAATATCGTCCAAATACACAAAAACAAGAGGTTCTAACTCGGGTCCTATGACCGAATCTATAAATCTATGTCAAGTTGCCGGTGCATAATGTAAACCGTATGGCATCCTCTTGAACTGAAATAGTTCTCTGCCTGGTACCGTAAGCGCTGTGAAGGGCCTCGACTGCTCCTCCACCGGAATTTGCCAATAAGCGGACTTAATATCCAGACTGGACAGAAACTTGGCGTCCTTTAGCTTATCTAAGGTCGCCGATACATATGGGAGTGGGTAACTATCTTTCTGGTTACATTGATTTAAAACCCTATAATCTACACAAAACCTATATGTACCGTCCTTCCTCCTGATCATAACTACTGGAGACGCCCAAAGACTATGTGATTTCTCTATGGAACCGTTTTGGGGAACACCTCCTTTTGGAGACTTATACCACTGGGTAGGCACACACCGAATGCAACCGTGCCATCAATCCATGGCTTCAAATAATGCAACTATTTGCCGACAGATATCACTGCCAACGCTTGGAGTGAAAGGAAGCTTAGGCAAAACAAAGGAAATTAACAGACACACATAAAAGAAGTTTTTTGTTGCGGCCAGTACGCGACAAATTACAGAAAAATAAGTCTATTAAGCTGGTATTTCTTGAATGAACATTTAAATAGTAAAGTCATTGGAAGCATGAAAAAAATTTGTATATAAAATTAATATTCAATTTGAATTTGCGCGCCTGGAGTAAGTTTCTCGTCTGATGAGAACAAAATACTACCACAGCACAGCTGCCTCTGTGACCTTCATCGAAGTGTGCGCGAAATTACGAAAGACTGAACAAAATACCTGATTATTATATAGAATTCCAGACATCCATTCATAAGCCCACTCTCGAAATACAAGAAAATCTGCACCGTGAAATCATAAAGAAATAATTGGAAAAAATTTGTGTCGTACTTTCCCTTCGCTCAATATTATAGTTCTATATAAAATGCTTAAAAGCTTCACAAATGATGTGAAATAAAGCGTTGCCTACAATTAGGCTCAAACAATGAGTTTCAGCAAAGTCACATACCCAATACAGTGATAAAAAGATAATCATACGAGCATATTAGTCCTATTCGGTAAGCCGATAGGCACTAACAACTGTTAAAAAAAATTTACTAATCCTCATTGGTGAGGCGAAATAAGCCTGCAAAATTTTCAGCGAGAGAGCGCAATTTTGATTTCATGACTGGCTAATTCTTAATGAAATTTCTCACAAAGCTTTTCAAAAAAAAAGTTATATTAAGAGTAGGAAAAGGTAAAAGAGAAGAATATCAAAAATATACATATGTACGAGGGGATGAGCAGAAGTTTGGTATGTTGACCAAAAAAAAATAGAATAAAAATTCTTTATGTATTTATTCGTAATTTTTGCACTTTTTTATCTACCCTTCATAGCTGCCATTGATTTCAGTGCATTTCTTAAGCCTCTAGAACCACCACTGAAGACAGTCTTCGAAATCGTGCTTTCTATCATACGTTTATCAAGTTCAGTATTAACCGCATTAATTATCCCCTCGTTGCTATTAAAGACCTCTTCTTTCAATTTTTTTTTAATATTTTGAAATAACCAGAAATCACAAGGTGGTGTATCTGGGTATATGGTGCTGGACATATTTCTACGAGCCCAGAAATCCCATTTAAAATACTCGTTATTTCAGTATTGTGGTAGGACGCATTGACATGATGTAAAAAGTAGGTCCGTAAATCCTCTTTACGGGTAGGCTTGCTCCTATTGGGCTCCATACCATCGACTGTTGTTTGGTTTCTGCGATGAGTACGATCATCGAACCCAGATTCGTCACCAGTTACTACTTTAGACTGACCATTTTGATGATTACTTAATATTCGCGATACAGCCATGGCATTCAAACCCAATTAATAAGCAATAATTTCTTGGGTCAATCATGGGCCTCGGTCTTGGGGTTCAGTGGAAAATTTTAGTCAAACTTCTCGAGGCTCATCCTCTACGGAAAAATGTCCGGCCTGGAATCTTCGGAATCATTTAAAATAGTCTTTAAAGATGGTGCAATCGCTCCAGATGCAATTCTGCATTGACTGAATATTTGTATAGTTTGTAAGTAAAGCCGAGTAGGGAATCATATGACGAATTTCTATTTACGTTGATGGTAGAATCTCGTCTGAGCTATCCTTAGCCATCTGGTGTTTTCTCGTCTCCATTTTTGCAACTCGTTTTAAAATTTGAAAGGAAGACAACTTAAGTAATTGCAAATGATTTAATGTTTTTAGATTTAACAAAAACAAATTGAAAGTCATCAATCGGCCGAATTTTTGTTAATCCCCCTGCACCAGCAGTATTGACATGTTACCTCAATTACTACTTTATCAGCTGAAAAGAAAAATTAATAAAATACAAATATGTGATTTGCAAAGTGCAAACAACAAAGTTATGTTGTCAAAATTTTTTTTTTATTGATTTATATTAAACCTTAAAAAATTGATTTAAAAAAAAAATTTTCTATAGAAGAAAATTCTTCACACTATCTTTTTGAGTAATCCTTTTAGGTTGTTAATAAAAATATTTATATTTACTTTATTAATGAAGTCGAAAAAAACTTCCAAGCCTTTTAAAACCCACTTTTTTGTTTGTGTTAATATGCAAAATCACAACTTTACACTTCACATCGAAAAGTGTGACATTAAAGCGAAAACCACGTTTTGTTGCAAAACTATTTCAATTTCATTTTATGTGCTGCATTGTTGGGTTTTTATCATATTCCGGATACCCCCATGAGTGGCCAAATATGTGTGCGCGGGCTGAGTACAGGCAAGATAGAGCATGAGAAAGAGTGAAAGGGCTGCAAGCACAAACACTTTCAAACATTGTTGTACGCACGCACAAGTGAGTTCATGCAACAAGTGTTGCATAACTTCGTACAAGAGTATGTAACCACTTAATATACTAGCACATGAAACATAGAATTACAAAAACAACGCAGCAATATTCTACCACACAAGAGTAAGCGCTAGAAAAACTTTATATTGCCGAGCAGAACTTTAAGTTGCACAAAAACATTTTGCCACAACTATCAGCTATCAAACTGCATTTACATGCGTATATATATTTGTCACGTGAAAAGTAATCTACTGTTTTTTTTATTGGATGGCTTTAGTCATCTGCATCTAGCGTTCTTTAAGTGCGATTGAATTGGGCTGGATGGCAAAGTAGCAAATGAAAGAGATGGACACTAGTAAAGAGCAAATTAGTTATATTCTACAAATCTTCACTCCTCGATAAAGACGAAAACGTGGGTTAGGCGGCTGCAAAAGGGAACAGTGCTCATAGTCCTCACACTGTACAGTCAGTCGTGCACAATGTGGCTTTTGTTGAAAAAAATGCTTCACAGCGTGAAATCCCAATTGTCGAAAATTTCGACAAAGCAAAGGAACTCGTCAAGACTGGCACAGACTGTTTACAATCACGATTAATGACCTTGGAAGGTTTTGTTATAGGTTTTGTTGGATTGACACGAAGTCATTCACTATGAGATGCTCCGATATCGCCAAATTCTTATGTCAGGCCAGTACTGTTAGCAATTGGACCATCTGAAGGAAGCAATCACTCAGAAGGGTCCAGTTTTGGCCAAAAGGAGTGAACCAGACACATAGATAGTGACTTGCCACAAGCGCCGAAAGCTTGCTGAGTGGCCTTTTATGCATTCGGCTTATAGTCCAGGCCTCGCACTAAGTGTCTACCAGTTGTGACTACTGTCTGTGGCAATTGCTTTGACTGGTGGCCTGTGGAAATCGATTGTTCCAGCCTTTTGGCAACAAAGATAAAAGTTTCTATGCGAGAGACGAAATGATATTACCTTCAAAATGACAAAAAGGTGTAGAGCAAAATGGAGCATATTTAGTATAAATTGGATATTTTTAGCTATGGTAAATGGACTACTTTTTACTAGAGCAATATGTATTTCCATATATATCATATCCATATGAAAAGTATACCAAATATTTGGGTCACCTCAAGCAATAAGGAAATGAAATTCCTTTTCTCGACTGAATTTATAAATTTATTTATTTATTATTTATTATCTATTTTTTTATTTCTTCATTATTATTTTTTATTTTCTATTTCTCAATATTTTTATTTATATTCCCGTTTTACTTCAAGCAATTTGCCACCAACTATATCGGCACACACTCACACATTCACTATGTGCTTATTTTCCTTTCTTCTTCTCCTTCTTCCACTCGCACAGGTACGCCGAAGAGCGCAAGCACAGGCGCAGCAACAACAACAGCAGCAACAACAATATAATTTAGAAAATGCACGGTCATATTGTACGAGCGAACCGCGTCTCAGCGAAACGGAAACGCCGCCGCAAAGACGCAAATTATCGCAACGAAGACCACAACCGCATGGTAAGTTTGCAAAATACAGAAATAAAAATGAATAGAAAAAAAAAATAAAATAAAAAATAAATATAAAATTGTAAGAGTTATATGTATATATGTATGTGTGTACTTTGCATGTTCTTGCAGGGCATTCACTAAGATTAGCGGGTATTAAGGTTTTGTGTAAAGTGTTTTATTTAAAACCTAAGGCCGAAGCGAGCAAATAAAGTTTCTCACCTTTAGGTGATGTTTGCTAAGTAAGCATATTGCAAAGTTGGACATTTCCATAGCGATTAAAGGGCGTAAATTACTTTACTTTCGCAGTCTTTGTGGTTATTAAGAGCACTTTATGTGAAGTAGCTGGAAAGGTGAGCGAATAAAGTGACTGGAAGCCGCGAAGTTCAAAACAATGTTGGTAACTTTGGATAAAAAAAATATGAAAAGAGATTGAAGGTTAAGAAGTCTTTGAATTCTTAGTAATTTTTACATATATTTAGAGCTTAATCGAAAGACCTCCATTTGCGTATCACGAGAAAAAAGACGAGTTCGGGTCGAAGGAAGAGAAAACTCTGCGCCAGAATAAGTCTGAAATTCTGTTGTAGAAAGACTTATTTTTTGACAATTAATTTATAAAACCGATGCACAGAAAAAGACTAAAGCACTCGTTAGATAAATCTGAAACACGTTTAGAGCTTAAATATTTAGAGCTTAGAATATTCATCAGCTCATCTTAAGATATAAAATTCTATATCACCAAAACCTTTATGTTTTACACCATAAATTCAAAAAAAATTAAAATTATATTTCTCATAGTAAGCACATAAAAAATATTTAAAAAGAGCAGCAAAGGTCTTTTCCTTTCTACTTTGCAAGTCGATATGTAACAACAATTTCCACCGTTCCATTGGCAATGTATTACTTATGGCAACGCCAATCTCGCACAAACATTCAGCTCTCTCCTACTTTCAACAACAAAGCGCTAATTCTTGCCGTCTATTTTCAAACATTACTTTCGATTTTCAACACACTTTCGTAGCAAGTTAATTGCAAAACTTTTCATCTTTAATTAACTATGACATTTTACTTATAAGAGCAACATTGAAAGTTGAGTGTGAGTCTACTTGAAAGCCGGCTTATATTGGTAATCGCCCATCTGTACCGGGGTATAAATGAACTTTGCTTTTTGTCTAATTAGTAAAATCTGCTGTGGAATTCGTACAAAAAAGTAATTATTATTTTCAACAGGATTCACTTGTTGAAAATTTTAATATTTCAAATAATAATTACCAACAATGAAAAGAAAAAAAATGTATAAAAAATTAAAGATATCTCTACAGTAATTTATGATGATTTATTAGGCATTGAATTCTGTGTAGTTTTGTCTGCTCTAATAAGCTGTGTTAAAATTTCCAAAGAATTTTTCAAGTTCATGCTTCAAGTAAAATGTTACGTATACGCAGTGTTGTCTTATAAGTGAAGGTAAAACTATGCCGTGCTACAGATACTTATACATTACCTCACTTGACTTTATAAAGTTTTTAGTTATGCTCACTCTCTACAATCATAAAGGAAACGACTTTTATATTAAAAGCAGGCAACAATATTTTCTTGTTAATTTTAAATACCCAGCGTCTACAGGCCAAACCAGTCAACTTACTCACAGCTACATTTTGTGTTTTTACAGCATCCTAAATGAAATTTTCGTTTGCTGACGCAACATTAAATTTTCAGCAACACCAGTCATTTCACCTTATGGACTCTCAAAGGCACTTACACACTTTTAAATACATCAGCATCTACAAGCATATATAATTTGATGTTAAATTATGTGCTTAAGAAAGAACACAACAGTGACTTGTATCAACAAGTCACTTGAGATTATGCCATTCGCTGTCGATATACCAAAAGAACTTAACCGCGTTTGCTGCCGGTAATCAAGGAACAAATAGAGGCCACTCTGGCGCCGGGTTGGCAAATGGTTGTTGAACACAGCATGCGCTTCTTAGTGGCAAAATCTTAGTTATTTATTTATACAAACAAAGTAAGCGTGGCACAGTATGGGAAAGTAGATAAAAATTAGGTAAATCATTTAATCGGGATTTTAGGTTATAACAGCGATTTTGAGCGGCGCAAATGTGAATGTTTCTTAATTAAAGTACTTCCTCTAAAGAGTTTTTCCAATGAGAACGATTGGCTACTGTTCATACAGCCACAATGAAAATTAAAGAATGAAAAAAAATTAACGAAATCTAATGAGACAAGACAAAAAAACACAACATAAATTAAAATATTTTTAATTAAATTAAAGTAAATTAATATATTAAATTAAATTAAACAAAATAAGGGAAAAATAATATTAAGAAATAAATCAAAAAAACTAATCTACAAATAAATAAAATATACAAAGATTAAAAAAAAATAATAATAATACAAAACAAAATAAAATAAATTAAAACTAAATTAAATAGAATAAAATAAAATAAGAACAAATTATTTTATTTTATTCTATTTAATTTAGTTTTAATTTATTTTATTTTGTTTTGTATTATATATAATTAAAAATAAGAAATTAAATTAAATAAAATATAATAAAATAAAATAATATAAAATAAAATAAAATAAAATAAAATAAAATAAAATAAAATAAAATAAAATAAAATGAAACGAAATAAATATAAGAAAATAAAATAGAATGAATAATAAAACCAAATCAAACAGAGCAAATAAAAGTAAAATATTTAAATTAAAATAAAATTAAAACAATAAAATAAAAAATAAGTTTAAAAAATTAACTAAAGTAAAATAAAATGAAGTAAAAAATTATATCTTCTTATCCATCTACCGCAAAGCTTTTATTTTGATTTTGCATAGAATATTACCACTGTGCTTAGCTAAGCAATTGAAGGGACACTTGTTGAGTTTAACTAACTGAAATGATTACAAAGTTTAGAATCAGCGGGAGTTCACTTTTATAAATTACTAATTACCTGGCCATTTTGCAGATTGGTATGCTGTGAAGAATAAAAAACACACAAAAAAAAACAAAAAAATATAAAAAAATTCAGTAGCTAAGGTATCAGTTGTATCTTCAGTATGCATATATAAGTTAGACGTTTATTATGTGTTTATGGGAATTAAAAAAACAGAAAAAATTGAAATTATACAGACAATTATTGAAGAAATAAAGCTTAAAACAATTTTCGCAAAATTCTACGAAAATCAAAAGGCATGTTTTGGAAGTTATTGGTAATAAATTGTGCAGAAAATGTGATTAGTGTTAAAATAACACCAAATGTTTCACACAAAGATGTGTCGATTAAATAAAGCCAAAAACAAACATTAACAAATTTTGAGCAAAAAAAAATTTATAGCTCGCGCACTAAGCTTGTTTCTGTGAGGCGTACAAAACGATTCGTGGAAAGCGATAAAATATCATGCAGTGAAATTGCCGAGAAAGGTTATGACCGCACGTCAACAGCAGGACACGACATAATGACGAAAATGTCACATTTATTGACCTAATTATTGGCGCCGTACAATGAACTTTAACACACTCACACACATGCATGGCGAAAACAAATGCAATCTTTTTTTGTGAGTGAGTAAACTGTTTTACGCATATGAAAAACTAAATGTTTGGAAATATTTTTTTTATATCCCTATTATATGACTCGCCATTTCGCACAATTTTTATAGCACACAACTTCACTAGCTTGACGATGGCTATAAAATTAATATTGCGGTAAAGACATTTTAGCATAGAAACAGCTGTTAAGGAAGCTCAATATTGCCACCAATTGCTGCCTGCTGGCGGTGAACTTCTCATTAAATACACACTCATTAAGTTATTTTTAGCGAAAATTATCGTAAATGATTAATGTTGTGAACTAAAGCATTTTTCTCAGCGAATATGAAAAATATATGAAATATATATTGGATGAGTGCATAAGTTCGTGCCCGATTCCCCTGGATGCCGTTCGAATCGTTTGAGAGTTGCGCTCGTGAAAGAAATATATACATATTATATATTGTTCGAAACGTGACAGTCCGAACTGTAAATCAAGCATAAAATAACTTCATTTTGATTTGAGTTGCTTAGTGAAAGGACGCATGGAAGATGGACAATGAAAAAGATCATATGCGTCATATTATGTTATACGAATTCCGCAAAGGAAAAACAGTAGGCGCTGCAACTAAAAATAATCGCGAAGTTTATTTAGACCATGCTCCAGCACTCCGCACAGTAAAGAAATGGTTCGCGAAAATTCGTTCTGGAGATTTTAACCTCGAAGATCAACCTCGCAGTGGACGGCCTTCTGAGTGGGATATCCGAGGCGTGATCTATTTTGAGCTCTTGCCAGCTGGAGAAACGATCACTGCCAACAAGTATTGCCAGCAGTTGGTCAAATTGAAGAAAGCAAATTGGGAGTGGATTGCTGAACATGATGGCGAATACATAATTGATTAATAAAAGCGCTTTCTTCAAAAAATTTCAATTTTAGTATGCACTTGAAACCGGCACGAACTTATGCACTCATCCAATAGAAACAGTTTTAAAAATGCAAAGGAAAATCACATATTGAATGTAGAATAAAACATAAACAAAGATAATAGATAATAGATAATAGATAATAGATAATAGATAATAGATAATAGATAATAGATAATAGATAATAGATAATAGATAATAGATAATAGATAAATAAAACTTATCATTGTACAATAAAAAAGCAAAAAGCTCAAAGAGGAGCTCCCCTACTTAGCTACACAAGCCCGAACGCCTATAAGTATGCTACGAGTACACCGCTAGCAACAAAATCAAACAAAAATTAATAAACTTTCGCACAAGCATATGCGAAGCATATGGTGTTGGAGTGCCGCTTTTGAACGGAAGCGTAAACAGTAAAGAGGTGGTTGTGTTGCAAACAAAAAGTTCATTTAAATCAAAGCAGCGAAATTTGAAGCCACCACAGTGCGTAAGACATACACATACAGAAAAGCATGTGTGAAACTTTTCGCGAAGCTCT